CACTGGGGATGTTCACAGCACCCAGCTCAGAGGCTGTTGTGATGATGAAATAAAGTGACTTTACACACAGCACTTAGACTGGTGCCTGGCAAGGACCCAATGGATGTTAGCTGCAAATTTGGTACTTCCTAAGTAAATAAATTAAGTGATGAATAAAAAGTATATTGGGGTAAACATGTAATGTAGAAGGAAGCGTCATTGTGTTTATTATCATAACTTATCACCATCTCTGGAGATGAAGAGGCTGCACTAATTTCTGGAAGTTGAAGATAGACTTCTTCATGCTTTCTCTCTTCAGCTGCCTGCTACAGCTTTCTGCACTGTGCTTTTCTATATGCTAAGTTATTTATTTGTCAGAGCCCATTTTTTCCTATTGTTTTCATCCATCACAAGTGGTGATGGTTATGTTTATTGTATGTAAAAGGCGCCTGCTCTCATAATCCTTTATCACTGATATCTTAAAGGCTGGGTTATAAAGAAGGCTTCAAGGCTCCATTGTTCCCTTCTCCAAGATAATGGACAGAGGTAGAACCTCAACAATGAATGTTCATGACCCTTGTATTGAGTCAAATCCTGAGGTTATTCATGTGTCTCTACTAGGAGTTCAAAGATATCATGCAAGGGTTTTCCTGAGAGCGATAACTTTTTAGTTAGAAACATAAGTCCTGAAGGGACTAGTTAGAAACATAAGTCCTGAAGGGACGGTTCAGAAAATGCCAGTTAATTGCAAAACAAATAAAAATCCAACTCCCTTTAATGCCTGAAGGAATGGCTTGAGCAGTTTCACACATGGAGCGTCTGTTTAAAAAACGCAAGGACTCTAGCCTTTTCTTATTAACCTACTGCTAAGGACCCAGGAGGGCAGCAGTGGGTTAGAAATGAGGTTTCTGTACCAAGTTCTGAAAAAGCCTCTTCTGAGACAATTGGCCAGGAAAGGGCTTGTCCCGCCCTTCTAGCGTGCTGGAGTTGCTCGCTTTTAGTTCCACCAAGTACAACAAATGTGCCCAAGAAATCTGATATTGAGCCCTGATGAAATGGAATCCTCTGCACAGCTCTGCTCTGTTCTTAACTATCCGGGACTAGGTCTTATTTCCAAGCCTTTCTCAAACAGTTTAATTCTCTCTGGGAAGAAATCATATTTATCCTGATCTCGAAAACATTCTCCATTCCTAGAAAAAGCCACGCGTGCTCTCCTTTTTCGCCTTTTCTTCTTTCACGTCTGGTGGCAATTTCAAAGCGCATTCTAGCTGACAAAAGTAAGCCGGGTCTCCTCGCAGCATGCCGGTTTAGCCCTGCACCTTGAGCCGGCGCATCTTCTCTCCGCAGAGCCTCTCGCCAATCCAACTCGGTCCAACTTTCCCTCCCAGGCTCCTGCAGGGGCGTCCTCCGGGCAACCGACTGCGGCAGGAGCGACCCCGGCCACGAGACCCCAGAGCTGCCCGCACTGCGCCCGCCGTCCCTCTCCCGCCTGGCGCTCGCCGCCCCGCGGTCTCAAGCTCCGCTTGGCGCTCCGGGGCTCTCGCCCGCCCTTGGCTTCTCACCTCTGGGCCCTTCGTCCCCGGACACCAAAGCCATCTCAACTCCCACCCTGGTCAACCTCCCGGGAAGCTCAGCAAACACCCTGTCCCCCTCCTGTGCACAAGCTTCGACCACCCTGCCAACACCTAGCACGACCTCCAGTGAGAAAGCCCAGCCCAAGTCGCCCCAGTTACACCGGCCGCCGAAGGTCTCCATCACCACCAGATACCCCAATTCACTCCCATTCATACTCGTTTTCATTCTCATTCTCTCTCTCCCTTCCTCTCTCCAAAGACTCCTAACCAGACTGGCCGATCCTCTTCAGTGGCACTCCTTTTCATTCATCCTCTCCCGTCACCACCACCAGCACCAACACACACACGCACACGCGCACACACACACACACGCCCACACGCGCACACACACACGCACGCCCTACGCAGACAGCCCACTCCACTTTTCAGACGCCCACCTCCTACATACACCCCTCCCCTAAACAGACTTCCACCCACTCACCATCTGTAGTCTCCCTTCCGCCCCCGGCTCCGCCCGCCCGGCTTCCTCTCCCCAAGAAGCGGACCCTCACAGTGGGAGGCGGGGACCCCGGCCAGACGCTCGGCTCCTGCGCGCCGTACTGACCTCTGCCCGCCCTGGAAACTAACAAAGGCGGCGCGCGAGTCCAGACCCCAGAGCGCCGAGCGGCGGCCGCGGGGCGGGCGAGCCTGGGCCGGGCGGTTGAGCGCCGGTAGGGGGCTGCTCCGGAGTCGGGAGGCGGCGGCGCCGGAAGACGCGGATCTCTGGCCGCGCGCGCCGCTCGGTCGCCGCGGGCACCATGGGCTGCTGTACAGGACGCTGCTCGCTCATCTGCCTCTGCGCGCTGCAGCTGGTGAGTGCCCCGCGCGCCCCGAACCCTGACCGGCCCCGGCCCTGGGACCGGCCTCCCAGCTCCCTCCGCGGAACCGCAGCTCCGGACGCGGGGCGGGTGGGGCGGGCGCTCCCGCCGCCTCCATGCTCGCAGCTGCTCCGACTCGCACTGCCCTCCGGCTGCGGCCGGAGTTTGGTCTTAAACTGGGGTTTCTCACGGATGGTGACCGTGTGTTCAAGACTTCCCAGGCAGTACCAGACAACATTCAGGTTCTTTGTCAGTCCACCCATCCTTGCACCTAGATTTTCAGTCCCGAAAATACGATCTACTTGAAGCCCTTTCAAGTCACCCATATCAAGGGCAGAGTGCTAGTGACACTGCTATGTCTCCTCTTGGGAAATGTAAGTAACAAACTATTTTTTCAATGGTAACTATCTGCTGATCTGTTGGCCTCATCAGACCTGAATAATAATACAATCTATATATTTTAAAACAAGGATGCTGGAGGACGTTGCAGGAATAAGGGCTTATCTTCTTGGTTTCAATGTGCTATGGTTTTGCCTCATCTTGCTCCAACTCTATGATTACCAGCAGTGCATGTGAGGGGACTTCAGCCATGCTCTATCTCAGCTGTGCTCCCAGGAGTATGTGGTCCTTTGGTGAGCTTGCAACACTAGCCCTGGCTCAGTGACCACCTTGCTGCAGCCCTCCCAATACAAACACCACACCCTCTAGGCCTCACTCTGTGCTGCTCAGAGATGAGTTCCTGATACCCTCTGTTCACCCACCTGCCAACCTCAGCTCACCTTCACCCTGGAGGGTTTCCCATGGTCCTCCCAATGTGGACACTGCATACTCCAGGCTTAGTACCACCCAATGGGCTCCTGAGGCCCCAGCTCCCTGTGCATGCCTGTTTGGTAGTCTCTGCCCCCCTGCGACCTGGAGGGGTGTTTTTGCTTGCCTGGCGACTGTGGACCAGCTCTGGGTCAGGCAATCCAGGAAACTTCTCCATCATCCAATGCGCTTAGTTCACATCTTCATGTGGGATCTGAACTGGGGCCCTGCTGCTCAGAGCTGGCATCCCAAGCGTACTCCTAACCAAAGTGCCACTCAGCCGGCCCAGAAGTTTTAAATTTTAATGAAATCCAGCTTATCAATTAATTTCATGGATTGTGCATTTGTGATATTAAACTTATTTTTTACTCCCTAAAAATGTATGTAATTCCTAGCTCTGTTCACTAAAATGGACTAGAAGCAAGATAACCTAGTAGCAATAAATAACCCTAGTGCCCAGATTGTAGTTTTTAAATACCACAAACAGAAACTGGGGCTCTTTTTAGAAATGGCTGATCCCAGGTTTGGTCAGGAAATGTACAAAATGAAACTGGAAATCATGTTTTACCAGAAGGCAAAGGAAGCTATCAAAGACCAAGGGAATGTCAAAAGGGCAGGAGCCAATTTGCAGGGGCTCCCAAAAGCAAAATTTGAGACAAACTGAGCATCAAAATTGAAAAACAACTGCAATGAGTTAAAACACATCAAATAGTTAAAAATACATGAGTATTATAATAATACTAAAAACAAAGGCTCAAATAATCAGAACCTCAATGGTCACCTTTGGAGGTTGCTGGGTCATCAACTCATTACTCTGAATACTGGTAAATAAAGAGAAGAAATCAAACATTTATCTTGCTTTTCCTATATTTCAGAGACTTTAAAGACATATCAACACATACGTGTGAATCTGTTTTTAGATCCAGATTTGAACAAATCACCTGTAAAAGCACACCAAATAACCAAAACAATCATGAGAAAGAACAAAGCAAAAATCAACAGGTGGCCAACTCAACCCAATTACACATGTTTAACATTACAATGACGTATAATTCTGCCATTTACATTCAGTTGCCAGCTTCTCTGTGTGCACATAAAATATTAACATAAAAATTTTAAAAAATTAACAGGTGGGACTACATCAAACTGAAAATCTTCTGCCCCGCAAAAGAAACAACAAACTGAAAAAGGCAATCTACAGAATGGGATAAAATATTTTTAACCCATATTTTCAATCATTTTATATCCAAAATATATAAAGAACTCATACAACTCAATAACAAAAAAATAAAAACAAAAAACAATTTGATTTTAAAAGGGGCAGTAGAACCTAAATAAGACATTTTTCTGACTCTGGGTTGTGAACACACAATGCAATATATAGATGGTGCATTGTAGAAACACACTTGAAACCTATATAATTTTACTAACCGATGTCACCCCAATACATTTAATTAGAAAAAAAACAACCTAAGTGTCCATCGACAAAAAAAAGACATTTTTCTAACAAGACATCTAAATAGCCAACAGGTACACAAAAAGATGCTCAATATCACTAATCATCAGGGAAATGAAAATCAAAACCACAATAAGCTATCATCTCACATCTGTTAGAATGGCTATTATCAAAAATAAAATATAGTGTTGGTGAGGATATGTAGGAAAGGGAGAAAACCCTTGTGCACTTTTGGTGGAAATGTAAATTGGTGCACCCACTATGGAAAAACATTATGGAGTTTCCTCAAAATATTAAAAATAGAATTACCATATGATTCAGCAATTTCACTTCTGGGTATACATCCAAAAGAAATGAAAACAGGATATTGAAATGATATATGCACTCCTATGTTTATTGCAGTATTATTCACAATAGTCCAAATATGGAAACAATTATTTAATGGATAAAGAAGAAATAGCTCAGATATGGAAACCTCCATCAACAGATAAATGGATAAAGAAGATACATATATGTATATGTATATATGTATACATATATGTTATGTATATATGTGATATATTTTTATATATACATATATGTACACACAATGGAATATTATTCAGCCATGAAAAAGAAGGAAATCCTTTTATTTGCGACAACATGGATGGACCTTAAGGACCTTATGCTTGTGCTAAGTGAGATGCTAAGTAAGATGAGTCAAACAGTAAGAAAAATACTGTATGATATCATTTATATGTGGAATCTAAAAAAGCCTGAACTTGTAAAAACAGAGTAAAATGGTAGTTATCAGGGGCTAGGGGATGGAGAAATAGAAGAGATGCCATTTAAGGGTACAAACTTGCAACTAGTAGATAAATAAGTTTTAGAGATCTAATGCACATTACAGTGATTATAGACAACAGTATTGTATTATAATCTTCAAACTTGCTAAGAGACTAGATCTTAATTATTCCCACCACAAAAAAGAAATGACAGGGCCAGCCAAGTGGCTCAGTTGGCTAAGAGTATGAGCTCTGAGCAACAGGGTCACTGGTTCAATTCCCACATGGGCCAGTGAGCTGCGCCCGAGCTGAGCTGCCACTGAGCTGCCCACAGGTGGCAGGATGACTCAGCTGGTGAAAGCACATGCTCCTAACAACAAGGTTGCCAGTTTGACTCCCGCATGGGATGGTACGCCCACCCGCAACTAAGATTGAACACAACACCTTGAGCTGAGTGGCTGTGAGCTGCCAACGGGCAACCGGATGGTGACTGGACTTGGAGCTGAGCTAGCTGCGCTCTCCACAACTAAAACTGAAGGACAACAACTTGGCTGTTCCCCTTCCCCAATTCCCCAACACTATTCCCCTTCTCCAATTCTCCAATAAAAAAAAGAAAGAAAGAAAGAATAATTATGTGAAGTTATAGAGATGCCAGTTAACCCTATAATGGCAATCATACTGCTGTGTGTGTGTGTGTGTGTGTGTGTGTGTGTGTGTGTGTAAAATCAACATGTTGTATATCTTAAATTTACACAATATTATATGTCAAATATATTTCAATAAAATGCCACCTTTTTAAACAACTGGAAACTATAAACTGAGTTTTAAATGATATTAAGAAATTATTGTAATTTTTGTTAGATGTGATTATATGGGTTCCCCCCCCCATTTTATCAGCTTTTAATAGGCACAATTTAAAGCCTTGGCTGACATCTCCCCTTGATAAGTAGAACACACAGGTTGAAACATTCAATAGAACGTTTTAATGTTTTGCTGGGTTCATTTTTCTTTCCTTTTTTTTTTATTAGTTTCAGGTGTGCAAAACAATGTAATAGGTAGACATTTACACCCCTCACAAAGTGATAACCTCCCTCCCCCAATCTACTACCCCTCTGACATCATATATAGCTGTTACAATTCCATTGACTCTATTCCCTATTCTGTACCCACATCCCATGACTATATACATATATTTAATTATAGTTAACAGTCAATATTATTCAGCTTCAGCTTCAGTTGTACAGCACAGTGGTCAGGCACCTACACAGTCCATGAAGTGGTCTCCCCAATAAGACAAGTGCCCATCTGACATCCTACAAAATCTTTACAAAAACTATGGAACACTTCACAAATTTGCATGTCATTCTTGCACAGGAGCCATGCTAATCTCTATATCATTCTAATTTTAGAACATGAGCTGCCAAAGCAAGTACAACTATGTGTTTTTAAAGGTCCTTTCTGTTAGAGATACATACTGAAATGTTTATAGGAAAAATAATATAACTATGGAATTTGCTATTTACTTCAAATTATTCCAGCCTCCCCCCACCAAAAAAAGAAAGAAAAGGTGAGAGAAGAATAGATGAGACAAGATTAGCAAAATGATGATAATTTTTTTTTTTTTAGCTGAGCCATCCTGCCACCTGTTGGCAGCTCAGCGGCTGCTCAGCTCGGGCCGGGCATCGAACCGCTGTTGCTCAGAGCTAAAACTCTTGAACAAGCTCTTAACCAACTGAGCCACTCGGCCGGCCCAAAATGATGATAATTTTTGAAGGCACATGATGGATAAATGTGGGTTCATTATGCTATTCTTTTTTCTATTTTGTATATTTGGGATTTTCCATATTAAAAGTTTAAAATATTGCTGCATAATTTGTCATTGAGTTTATAAAAATATAATTAACTGGTTTCCTAATGATATAGTTTTTTATTCTTTCGACTATTAGAAATAACATCTGAGTCACATC